GCAACACGCGGAGAGAGGGAGGAACTCAATGTCCGCTCTTCAACTTGAGGCTATTAGTCTTCTCACGGTCTGAAAAGAAAGTGGACGTGAGGACTAGAACTCAGCTAACGTCGCCATTCCGGAGTGAGCCCACGGGAGCAAAGTTTACTTGGCGAATTACAGTGGCCGCCTCGTCCACAGAACATTAATCGTCAGAAAAAACCGGACCATGGAAACAGAGAGTGACATCGAAGCTGCGAGCGATGTCCGAGTCATTTCACGATGCTCTTAAGTTATTTCATCGATGGTTCGAATTTCTAACAGCTGACTTGATGTCAGTCAGAGCTGCAATTTGTTCGGCCACATACGCGGGCGAGAGGGTGGGTGGGAGAGTTAATAGCGCTCACAATGGGGCGGCAGTGGCAAGTCTGGTTTTGTGTATCTTAGGCGGAGACCATAAAGCCTAGGGGTACAGTGGTTGCCACGTTTTAGCTAGGTTTGGCCTCCGGCTCTATAGCAGCCGAGTTATTTCCTCGTGCCGCGACCTCTCCCTCAGTTTTCGAACGGGGTTGCTTTTTAGGATCGTGTAGGACTGATCTGTCAGCAACGCCTCAACTTTAGAATGCTGTTCTATGGTTTTCATGACCACCGTGGCATTGCATTTGTTCCGCGGGTACTACGACATGGTCCTCGCGCTTGCGTAGTTCGCGCAACGCCACACGTTCCTCGCGTGGCAGTTTAGAATGGCCCAGAAGACGAGCCGATTCTGTGCGAATGTAGTCAGCCTGGTCGGCGGGCAGTTTCGAGACCGCGTTTTCCACCCCTGCCACTATATCCGCTGTAGGTATGCGATCAGGCAGGGGGCGAAATTAAGAACCTTTACTCAAACAGACAACTGTGGCTTGTTCATTACTGTTCATCAGTTAGGTTTACGACAGTACTCGTCAAGCCAACCCTACCCTCAGATTGTTTTGTTTGGCCTTCAATTTTTAAATTTGCGAATTTGCTTTACATCGTAGATTTCTCAAGTACACTTTCCGCCGCTTCCGCCGAAACCGTATCAAGTGTAATCAATCAGATGCAACTAAGGCAGCATGCAAGCATTAAATGAATATTATATTGCTTGCATGCTGCCTTAGTGCATCTGAGCGCCGCGCGCGCGAGAGAGACAGAGAGAGAGAGACGAAAGCCGAGCGAGCGAGAGAGAGACCGAAAGCGAGCGAGAGAGAGACCGAAAGCGAGCGAGAGAGAGACGCGAAGCGAGCGAGAAGAGAGCGAAGCGAGAGAGCGAAAGCGAGCGAGAGAGAGCCGAAAGCGAGCGAGAGAGAGACGAAAGCGAGCGAGAGAGAGCAGGGAAAGCGAGCGAGGAGGAGACGAAGGAGCGAGAGAGAGAGCGAAAGCGAGCGAGAGAGAGAGGACAAGCGAGCGAGCCGAGAGAGCGAAGCGAGCGAGCGAGAGAGCAAAGCGTAGCGGAGAACGAGCGAGAGGGAGCGAAAGCGAGCGGAGACGAGAGCAGCGAAGAGAGACGAGAGCGAAGGAGCGAAAGCGAGCGACGAGCGAGAGAGAGCGAATAAGCGAGCGAGAGAGAGAGAAGCGAGGCAGGGACGAGAGAACGAGCGAGAGAGAGATCGAAAGGGAAGCGAGCGAGAGAGCGATAAGCGAGCGAGGAGACGTATCGCGAGAGAGGCAAAGCGAGCGAGAGAAGAGCGAAAGCGAGCGAGAGAGACGAGAAGGGCGAGGAGCCGAGAAGGAGCGAGAAGGCGGAGCGAAGAGAGCGAAGGAGCGAGAGACGAGACGAGAGGTAGCGCGAGATGGAGGCGAAGCGAGAGAGAGCGATAGCGAGCGAGAGAGAGAGCGAACGGCGAGCGAGAGCGAGAGCGAAAGCGAGCGAGAGAGGAGCTGAAGCGAGCGAAAGAGGCGAAGCGAGCGAGAGAGGAGAGCGAAAAGCGGAGAGCGGAGAGAAGAGAGGCGAAAGCGAGCTGAGAGAGAGAGAGCGAAAGCGAGCGATAGAGAGAGCGAAAGGCGAGCAGAGAGAGAGAGAGGCGAAGCGAGCGGAGAAGAGAGAAGGAAGCCGATGAGAGAGAGAGAGAGCGAAGCGAGCGAGAGGAGAAAGAAGCGAAAGCGAGCGAGAGAGAGAAGAGGAAAGCGAGCGAAGAGAGAGCGAAGCGAGCGAGAGAGATGAGAGCGAAAGCGAGCGAGAGAAGGAGCGAAAGCGAGCGAGAGGAGAGCGAAGCGAGAGAGATAGGGGCGAGAGAGAGGAGCGAAAAAGCGATGCGAGATTAGATGAGAGAGCGAAAGCGAGCGGAGAGAGAGAGAGAGCGTAAAGCGAGCGAGAGAGAGCGAAAGCGAGCGAGAAGATGAGCGAAAGCGAGCGAGAGAGAGGAAAGCGAGCGAGAGTAGCGAGCGACGCGAGAGAGAGAGGAGAGCGAAGCGAGCGAGAGAGGAGAGCGAAAGCGAGCGAGAGAGAGAGCAGGCGAAAGCGAGCGAGGGAAGAGAGAGCGAAAGCGAGCGAGAGAGAGATGCGAAAGCTAAGGGAGCGAGAGAGCACGAAAGCGAGCGAGAGAGACGCGAAAGCGATGCGAGAGAGAGCGAAAATGCGCAGCGAGAGAGAGCGAAAGCGAGCGAGAGAGAGCGAAAAGCGAGCGAGAGAAGGCGAAAGCGAGCGAGAGAGAAGCGAAAGCGAGCGAGAGAGGCGAAAGCGAGCGAAGCGAGCGAAAGCGAGCGAGAGAGAGAGAGCGAAGCGAGCGAGAGAGAGCGAGCGAAAGCGAGAGAGAAGGAGCGAGAGCGAGCGAAGCGAGAGAGAGGAGCGAGAGAAGACGCGGCGAAAGCGAGCGAGAGAGAGCGAGCGAAAGCGAGCGAGAGAGAGCGAGCGAAGCGAGCGAGAGAGAGCGAGGGAAGCGAGCGAGAGAGAGCAGCGAAGCGAGAGAGAGCGAGCGAAGCGGAGCGAAGAGAGGCGAGCGAAAGCGAGCGAGAGAGAGAGCGGAGCGAAGCGAGAGAGAGAGCGAGCGATAAGCGAGAGAGAGGAGAGCGAGCGAAAGCGAGAGAGAGCGAGGCGAAAGCGAGCGAGAGAGAGAGCAGAGCGAAAAGCGAAGAGAGAGAGAGAGCGAGCGAAAGCGAGAGAGAGAGAGAGCAGCGAAAGCGTAGCGAGAGAGAGAGCGTAAAGCGAGCGGCGAGAGAGGAGGAAAGCGAGAGCGCGAAAGCGGAGCGATATAAAATAAAAAGGAGAGAGCGCGAAAGCAGCGAGAGAGAGAGAGAGCGAATGCGAGCGAGAGAGAGAAGAGAGCGATATGCGAGCGAGAGAGAGGGAGGGAGCGAATGCGAGCGAGAGAGAGAGGGAGAGCGGCGGAATGCGAGCGAGAGAGAGAGAGAGCGAGCGAATGCGAGAGAGATGAGAGAGCGAGCGAATGCGAGCGAGAGAGAGAGCGAGCGTGGAATGCGAGGAGAGAGAGAGCGAGCGAATGCGAGCGAGAGAGAGAGCGAGCGAAATGCGGAGCGAGAGGAGAGCGAGCGAAATGCGAGGGAGAGAGAGAGCAGAGAGAGAGCGAGCGAATGCGAGCGAGAGACGAGGAGAGAGAGCGAAGCGAGCGACGAGAGAGGAGAGCGAATGCGAGCGAGAGAGAGGAGCAGAGCGAATGCGAGCGAGAGAGAGAGAGAGAGTCGGAATGCGAGCGAGAGAGAGAGAGAGAGAGCGAATGCGAGCGAGAGAGAGAGAGAGCGACTTCGCAATGCGAAGCGAGAGAGAGAGAGAGCGAGCGAATGCGTAGCGATCGAGAGAGAGAGAGAGCGAGCGTAATGCGAGCGAGAGAGAGAGAGAGACGAGGAATGCCGAGCGTTAGAGAGAGAGAGAGCGAGCGAATGCGGGAGGAGAGCGAGCGAATGCGAGAGAGAGCGGGCGAATGCCGAGAGAGAGCAGCGATGCGAGGGTAGAGAGAGCGGAATGCGAGCCGAGAGAGAGCGGAATGGAGAGAGAGAGCGAATGCGAGCGAGAGAGAGCGAATGCGACGAGAGAGAGCGAATGCGAGCGAGAGAGAGAGCGAATGCGAGCGAGAGAGAGAGCGAATGCGAGCGAGAGATGAGAGCGAATGCGAGCGTGAGAGAGAGAGGCGAACGTGAGCGAGAGAGGAGAGCGAAAGCGAGCGAGAGAGCGCGAAAGCGACGAGCGAGAGAGCGAATGCGAGGAGAGAGAGGAGAGGCGAAAGCGAGAGAGAGAGAGCGAAGCGAGAGAGAAGAGCGAATTGCGAGCGAGAGAGAGAGAGAGAGGAAAGCGAGAGAGAGAGAGGCGAAAGCGAGCGAGGAGAGAGAGAGAGCGAAGCGAGCGCGAGAGAGAGAGAGAGCGAAAGCGAGCGCGAGAGAGAGAGAGAGAGAGCGAAAGCGAGCGCAGAGATGAGAGAGAGAGCGAAAGCGAGCGCGAAGAGAGAGGAGAGCGAAACGGGCGCGAGGAGAGAGAGAGAGCGAAGCGAGGCGAGAGAGAGAGGGAAGCGAGCGAGGAGAGAGAGAAGCGCAACGTCGAGCGAGAGAGAGAGAGAGAGAGAGGAAAGCGAGCGAGCGGAGAGAGAGAGAGGAAAGCGAAGCGATAGAGAGAGAGAGAGAGAGCGAAAGCGAGAGAGAGAGAGAAGAGCGAAGCGAGAGAGATGAGAGAGAGAGAAAGGAAAACGAGGCGAGAGAGAGAGAGCTGATAAGCGAGCGAGAGAGAGCGAAAAGCGCAAGAAGCGCGCGCACTTTCAGGCTCAATTGGCATCAAAATCTTTAGCGTCATAAATTCTGCTAAACAAAGTCTTATCGAGATTTGGCAGTGGTGAAGTGTGGCTGGGTTTAAATGAATCAGCAAGTCTGGCCAGATTCCATTTTTGATGCAAACTTGTATTCTTTAACTGGTTTTAAATAAATGTAGTTATTCTGTATTATTAGGGTTAAAATGCAATCATTTTTCATGAAGGTTTTGATTGTTTTGGGCATTCAGCCGGTAGATAATAAAATTACCATAATATAAATTGATGCGAATGTGACACTTGTTTTTTCAGATGAATGGAAAAGTGGAAAGGCATGAAGAAAAGCTGGAAATTAAAGAAGAGGTTTTGTCCGAAGAAGAGGGATTGCAGGAGGAGGAGGAATTGTTGGAGGAGAGTGCTTGTCTATCAAGAGTTGAGCCCAATAGGTTTCCCGTGATTATTAACGTGCACTCGCTGGGTAACCAAGTGCCCAATCCATCACCTCGGAGATCTTCAAGACAGCTCTCTACTGCCCAACAAGTAGTATGTAAAACGTTCACCACAATGGTTGAAACCATAACATAAGCAATATCTTCCAGCCCATTACAGTTTCTTTTGAAAGATGATTTTCTAATACCTGTTGCTGTAGTTTTTATTGAATTTTATGTTGAATAATGTAGGTATACCAAATCTGCTATAGATATTTTTCCTTGTAAATCTGGTAAACTATTAAGACAATATTTAAAAACAAAAATCATATTTAATAACCATTGTCAAAAATACCAAGCATTTAATGTTTGTATTTTTTAAACTACGTAAAATATTAAACTACAGAATTGCATTATAGATTATTCTGGCCCCTTGCATGGTAAGGAAATTATGAAAATCTTTGAATCCCTTCTTCAAAAAGAAAATTAAATTTAAAAAAGGAATTTTTAATTTGTGTGAATTTCATATTTTATTCCCCAAATTACATTGTTTTTTAGACCCTGTTGGTTTGGAGAAGCTTTCTTTAATGTTGTTGTGGTAATTCCAGGTTAAGACGAAAACGGAGCCAATACATAAACCTGCATCTGGAATGAAAAGAATAAATCCATCATCGGTCAGTATTACTCAAAAACACTATTTATGGATAGTTCCTGCACATGCTCAATAGTGATTTGATTTTCCTTTACTGAAGTTGCAGCACCCTTCGCATCAATCAGTCATAACATAAATTATTTTCTTCTTCCTTTTTATCTAGTTATTTTCTCCAGTAAACAGTATAAAGTTAGCTTTTTAGTTTTATGGTAAGCCAAAAATTCAATTTTAGATATTCATGAATTTTTATTTTATGGATTGTTTAGTATTGAAGTTCTACAATTGGCCAATGTACTTGAAATTTGAACATCTGAATAGAATATAAACAGACTATGATCATTCAAACAAAAATTAGGGTATATACAGATTTAACTGAAGACTAGCAATTTTCTCTTTGCTTTTCTGACAAATTTTAAGATAATTCATTCTCATATTGTTTGTTAATTTTCACATTTGAGTAAGCAGATTGTTAAGAGTATAAGCAGAAATATATAAAAGTAGCAAAAATGTATCATTTCTTCTTGTTGCTGTGGGAACTCGAAACCTCAATTGTTCTAACGAAAACGGGCTGTCAATTTCATGATTAATTAATTTGTACAGATAAATCACATTATGTACCTTCAATGAGGTGAGTGAAGGGATATTTAAGAAAGTTGATATTGCATGAGAGTCATGATTGATAAATGGATCTGGTATACTAAAGTGAGTCACTGCAATTCCAAAAAACATGTTGGACTGTTTCTAATTTCTGAGTATATATATGAAAAAATGGGGACCAAACTGCTGATGAATACATAAGAATGGGTTCAACTAAGATTATATGCAAGGCTTACAAAGTGTGAATATTATTGAATTCATTACACATTCTCCTAATAAACCAAGCAGTTGGTTTGCTTTGTTAATCGTATCATCAATGTGATGCTCAAGAGACATTTTGAAATTAAAAATAACACCTAAATCATGAATAACAGTTACTTTTTCTAACAATGTTGAGTTAATTGAGTACACAAGTAAGAAAGAAACTTTAAAGCACAAGAAAGTGATAAATTTACATTTGCCAGTGTTTAAAACACGATTGTTGTTTTCACACCATATATCTCAACAATTCAGTGCAGTCTAATGAGAATAAATGAGCATTTAATTTCTCGAAAAATTTTGCAGTCATCTGCAAAAGCAAGAATTCAACTTCTTTGAAACACAATGCTATACTGCAATTCATGCAACTCCACCCCTGGCAGGTATCAGCTGTTGACAGTCTCCTCATGGATTGGATGAAACTGTCAACAGCTTATTCCTGCCAGGGTCATAGTTGTGTAAATGCGATCCATATAGGGTCAGTACAGAGATAGGGGAGGGTAGTGCAGAGAAAGTGGAAGGGGAAGCGGTGGGAGGTGGACAGGCAGGGCTGAGTGGAGCAAGCCAGACAAATAAATACCCAGCCAATGCTAGATTACTTCTGAAATATTTTTGTTGTCATGTTGGATAATTTACTTTTCCTTTCCTCATGTTATAACAATTACTGTATGTGCACATATAATTATAGAAATAAATAAACAAAATGTAAGTTTTATATGTACCTTTTTTGTGTCTCATCTCTTTTGTCTCTTCTGTATGTCTCTTTTTTTCCATCTCACTTTTGTGATATCTTTGCTTTTTCCTGGTAGTCTAGTTAATTAATTTCATTGTAGGATAGTCAATGTAACTAGTCTCATTGTTTCAGAGCTCTGAGAAACCAACAACGTCAGGAGTAAATAAGGATTCTGCAAAGAAGTTAAGACGTGAGAATGGTGTTAACGAAAGGAAGACTGCTGACAAGAGCTCAGAACTTGCAGCTATTCATGAACTTCTTGCGACACTCCAGAGACCAGTTGATGAAGACCAGGTATGTAATATTAAAAAATTAAGTTAAGAATTTATCTCAAATTCTTTATGTACCAAAATATAATGTGAATTTTTCCGAAAGAATTCATTTGAATAATACGGGGTTGTCAGACTGATTAAAACTAGTCACTTGGAATTAATGTGTTTTCTTTACCTATTCATGTCAACACACAACACACACTATTAACACAGACGTAACAACATGCTGTAAACGCAATAAAAACTTGCATGTTTATGGGTTTGGCAAGTGATGCAAACCAATATTGTTGAATGTACCCATAACCAGAGAAACTCAGTCTTAATTTCATTTTAGGACCTGAAACATATCCAAACGAATAAACATTATTGCTGAGATTTTGCCACTTCACCAAGCAGGCTGTATGAACTTTGTTTGACGCTCAACAACTGCAGATCTTAAATATTGTAAGAGAAATGAAAAAATGAAATGTAAAATTTCTTCTTCATTGTACATTCAACAAAATATTGACTTATTTGGAAAAGTATCTTAGAAAACATTCCTAAACATAGGGTATTTTGCTGCTCGTTCTGCAGAAAAGAGGCACAGAGATGTGAGAGTTCACGTTTCAGAACTCGATAACAAGAACATTTAACGATGCGCTTTTCTAGTTAAAGCACAATAGGAAGGAGATCTGGAATTGCAGAAGGGAATGCTCTTAAATGACATCAAATGAAGACAAAGGTGGGAAATGAAATATTTAAGACTTTCAGGGAGATGTAAAAAGTTAGAGGACAACGTATAATGGGGGAGGACCAATAAGAAAGAAACAATGAAATATTTGAAGGGAAAGGTGGTAGAGACAGAAATTACCCTTATTTTTAAAGGCGATAATAAAATATTGGTAGTTCAGGCCAACATAATTAAATTTATCAAAACAATTTTCTCATCAATATGACAATTTCTGATTTAATTTTGACTGAATAGTAAGAATTGATTTAAAATCAAAAATATTTTCAGGTACCTCTTCAACATTTAGGATGTCATATATTCTGTTATATATGGTATGTTTATTCTGCGAAGTATTTGTTCCACTTCCATGTGTTCAAAGCAGAGACAAAGACACTTCGAACTAATTTTGATGTAAATTAATAAATTCATGTAAAAATGAATATAACGATGTTTTATCTCTTTAATTTTTATCAAAAATCCTTAAGATGGAAAATTATTTATGGGAACCAAGTAGATCATGTTAGACCAAATTAGAATCTTATTCAAATCACTAAAATTGCTCGAGGACATCTGGAGGAATGATAACTAGATCTAGGAGGAACCAGACCTATCCTGCTGTTGATGGTGGTGATGATGATGATGCTCTTATAATCTCTATATAAATCACTGTAATAGTTAGCTATCAATGTGCAGTTAGAACAAGTTTAATTTCCAAGTAACTGTTTTTGCCATCTAACTTCTAGAAGGCTCAATCAGTTTTAATAATTTTTGAGATACAGATAGATAATGGCCCATCTTATCCATTGCATCATGTATCTCTAGCCAAAAATGGCTTAAATGATGTGTCAACTCTGAAAATTAAAAGAATTAATGTTCAGGAATCTATTTTCTCCATTGTAATTGAAGCACAAAGGGTGGTCAGAATACCATAATGTGGACAAAAGGGAATTAGCATTTAAGAGATGCAACACTTTTAATTGTTGCCAGAAAGATGATTTTCTTAATAACTTTTTACAAAAGCATCTGAAGTTTTGGTGCACCAGAAATATTACCAATGTGTGGTAGTAGAGCATGTGGGGTACCTTAGTACCCTAAAACGTCACTGAACTTTTAGTGAGTGTTGCTCATCAAGTTTATAATGCAGTGCAATTACATAATACAGTAGTAGAATTAACTGGTTGGTTAGACATCAGCTTCTTGAAGATACAGAAAACAAAGAAATTTCAATTGTAATGGAAAGACTACAAAAACTACCACGGATACACTCAGTAATTATACAGTGGGTGAAAGGGATGATGCGTTAATAAAATCCATTTTGCTGAACCCTAAGAATCAAACAGATCTGTCTCCTGCATCTGTGGTTGCCAATGCAGAGTGCAATATACATGCACCAAATGTAAAAGTGACAATCCATTTTCAATACACACGTGCAAACACACACATTCACCAACACATGCTTGCTCACTCACTCGGAAATATGCTTTCAAATATCTTGTAATGCTAATTGTGGAGGGAGGTATTATAGGGAGATATAAATTACTAACAGTAATTAACTTTACCAATCTACTTGCATGCTGTTACTTTAGAATGCTTGAAAGCAAAAATTCTTAATTTGTGAATAAATACTGTTTCGTTATTTGTGATAGGTTTATGGTGAGCATGTTGCGTGTGAACTACGGGGTATTCAAGATCCTGTGATTAAACGATGGTGCAAATGTGCTATAAGCGAAGCTCTTTTAAAAGCTCATAAGGACGATTACTTGAAACAGCAGTAGGCAGAAGAGGACTTGTGAGATTCGATATTTCATTTGTATATATTTTGTACATTGTGTTATTAATATAAAATATATTTTTATTGTGTATGTTATGTACTGTAGAGTGCTAGTTGTCATTGTGAAATACCTTTTCTGAAGAAAGTGTCATCAGCCATAAATAAACATTGAAACTTCTATCATGGTGTAAATACAAGTTAACGTCATGAAGACTGTAAGGAGGAAACACAACTCTGGTGGTGGGGGAATGTATGAGAAGCGTCGGCAGCTAATCGGACTTACTTAGCTTCAGCGTCATCACACAGTCAATTGGAGAACCTTTAAGGAATATTCAGCCAATGACTTTCAAGCTCATGTGAGAAGTCGGCACCATTTAGACTTACATACACTAAAGGGTAGATGGCGTTATTCAAAAATGTGCGCCATTATTGGCCGTTAAAAGCTGAGGCAAGTTCCTTCATCCACCGTGAGATGTCGCTGAAGATATAAATTTGCAGAATTAGCTAACGATGTTTTTCATAAATACCTCCACTATTCCTCCAACATGGGAGTAAAGTCTCCTGACAGTCTTCATGGGTGATATTTCCTTGGTTATGTTTTAATCACCAATAAGATTGTTAGCAAAAGATAAAAAATCATATAGTCCTTGAAACCTGAAAAGTCTGCAACTCCAAAAACCCAGATTTTCCGGAATGAAAAAAGAAAAGGAAAAAAAAGGGGAGGGAAAAAAACAACAAAAAAATCCACACACACACACACTTTTATGTCAATATTGTATATCAAAATTAACGTTTTTTTGTAATAACAATTATAGGAAACATTCTTAATATTGTGGAATAGTTATTTACGAGACTTCTACTGAAAGTGGGACTTGTAAGGCGTGCAAATAAAATGATTCTGGATGAGACACCCCCATCCAAAGATACTGAAAAATTCTTTGTTGGCATAATGTCCATCTGTCCATCCAGACTATCTGTGGTCAACACTGTGTTAGCTCACTAAGGCCTTAACCGTTCATTAAATTCTGATGATGCTGTTTTCTCCAAAATTAATATTTCTGAAAGATCTGAACAATCTGGAGGCCTTTCACGTTTGAAATGAATATCTTGATTTTGGGAGCAATGTTCCACAAAATCCCCTAATTTTTTTGATTTCAAAATATTTTTATTTATTAAAGCAGTTGATAATGAATATTTTTCATATAAACATGCACAATGAAATGCAACAATAATCCGCCTGTGTTAGATTTTGGCGTTTGGCAGGTTTCTGAAATAAACAATTCAATTAGTCCTTGAAAAGTATAAAGTTTGCTTTAAAACAGCACAGGTCTCATTTTTTCTTGAAATGTATATACCTTAAAAATTTTTTTTCCTTAATGAAATCTGTTCTTCAAAGATAGATCTTGAAATAACTTGATGTACAATTTTTCAAAAATTAGTTTTCGTGTAATTTTGCATGAAGTATAGGCAATTTTTTTACAATTATACTCTATAAAATGGCACTAAGATTTTTAATGTCATATGAAGAAAAGCTTAGAAAAAAGGGTTACTAAACCGATTTTTGGCAAACTTTTATTTTTGCATCGTGCAAAAAAATAATGAATGACGGTGCAAAAACACTTTTTTATATATAAAATCTGTTCTCAAACATTAATTTTTGATATAGGCCATTTACAATTTTTTGAAGAAACAAGTATTGCATAGTTTCTGCTTGTTAGTACATTAATTTAAAAATCTCAAAACTCCCACCAAAGGTTTTTGTAAATTTCTTTTTAAAATATCAAAGCTTACAATATTAGAGCGCAGATCTCACTTTTATTGGAACTCTGAATATTAAAAAATTTCCAAGGTTTAAAATAATGCGAAAAACTATCTGCTATTGGAGCTCCACTTGTGTTTAATTTACTTTTTTAACATTGACTTATCAATTTTAGGTATGTTAGCTCATTTTTATGAAAACAGTTAAAAGATATTGTTTCTCAGACAGTAATATATTTAATTTCAATCCTGCAAAACTATGAACATTTCATTCAAACATCAGTGTTTGAATTTCTGCTTAACTTAAGTTCACAAGGACATTGACTGAACCTATTTCTCCCTTCCAATAAGACGCTCAATGGTTCTCCTATGTGTTAACACCATGTCTGAGGGTACTAATAAATTCATTATTCTCAAATCATGGTAAGCGTTTCAGTATTTATTTCTTAGTGTATTGAAAATTATTAATGTGCAAATATAAAATATTCTTGAACTGTTTATCTTGCTCAGTTTTTAATTTATGTAATGTGTGTTCTTCTGATGCAAATAAAGTGTTGGATGTTATGTGTCACATAGCCGTTAGGGGAAGTTACTAGAAAAGAGGAAATAAGAAAATTTAAGAATCCAGAACCTTTATACTACTAGAAATCTATGGATGAAAACATTTGTAAAAATATTTCAGTCCCAGCGACAATAGAAAAAGGAGGGAATTTTTTTTACTTTTTGCTCTATTGCACATGTGCATGAAGATTGTTTGCTAGCAAACAAGCTTGATTGTCATTTTTTGGTGTAAATGTTCAAGTGAAAAACTTGTAAAGATTCAAAACTCAAAACCTTGAATATTACCATTTTTGTTTTTTCTTCTTAATAGCCACTCTGGCAGTTGCTCTTGTGACATTTATATTATTTCATTTTCAGATGGTTGAATGCTGCTATAAATAATTCAGTTAATGCCATGTGATGTTGTTTGCACATTGTCAAATGGCGTAATGACTCCAATTTTGAATTTGTTTTGAAACTTAAATATTTTTTCTCCAGAATACAGTATTATTAAAAATGAATGCATTGAATGAATAAATTTCATTACAATGTGCATTTGAAGTGCAGTAAAATAGAGAAAAAGTATATTCTCTATATTCCTGTTGTAAGATTAAAAAATGAAGAAAATGTTTGTACTTTCATAAAATTGTTTTTGATAAATGTTCCTTAAAGCTTCCTGGCTGTAAAAGAATTTCTTATCCATGCCTATCGGTTTACCTTTTCCTATAAATTTGGGATTTTGTTTTCATTGTTCAGGAAAGTGGTGTCAAAGCTGTGTCAGTCGACAGATGCATTTACTTGTCAACTTATCATAACTTGAAAACTTCATGTAACTTCTATTATTTATTGAAATGATATTTCTTCTAGGATACAATCTTAAGTTTTCCTTAAATGTTGTTTTCACAGCTAAAGATTCTTTACAATGTTTTTGTAGTTTGCACCATAAATAGTGCAATAATGTTCTGTCATTTAAAAAAAAAAAAATTCTTAAAAAGAAATAATAGGTCCCAGTATCTTTTAAAAAAATGAAATATTATGTTAAACATTAATTCCATGCTTTTTGTATGAGCTGGAATTATTGTTGAAAATAGATCAACTGGTAATCTTCAGTTTCTGAAAAAAAGCATTCTGATTGATGTCCTGGTCTTGGTTGACTGGACACGACTCATTCTTGATCTACATTTCTAAAGGTTACAAGTTGATGGATTGATTGTTTAGCAGGATAATAGTGTTATCATCTGAGTTAAGGGTTGTTGTGAAGGCAGAAGTTAATTATGTTTTATTTATTCACATTTAGAGATATGGTAAAGGGTTACTAAATTTTTCTCTACGTAGTAATTGAGTAACCTAGATGTATCTATCAGTTCTGGTTCATCGGTCATGAAAAATGTGTTGAGTCATTCAAAGTATCTCAGTCTTCTGATGGGGAACTGATAATTTAGATTTTGATTTATTAAGTAAAAAAACCAGTTCCCGTCCCGTTATTTTAACTCTAAATAGTTGAAAGACAGTAAAAGTTTCACATAAATAAAAATACATTTTAAAAATCGCAAGATAAGCAATATTTGAAAAATAGTCATTTTTGTTTCCGAGTTATAGAAAACTTATTTACATGGGTACACGTATTGCAAGTATGATTCTTCCGCATTGCTAACAAAATATCAACTCGCACTTACCTCTACTCTTACCATTACAAGCAAAAGGAAAGTTCAACAAAACGTGCGCATAGTGAAGCTACATTTACGTCCAAAAGCAAAACAAGAGGCCATCTCAGCATTTGCTCAATGGATCAGGGAAACTGGACAAAAACCTGATCGAGATGGGGGTCATTGGCCCAAAAACTGAAGCACATTAGTTTCAAACATATTAAGTTTTAAAAAATATATATTTTTACGATTACAAAGATGTGTACGATAGTGAAATGGGGCAGGAGAGACAGCTTTTATCAGCAATCTTATTTTTAAGCTCTTTATACTCCCGAACACGATAGAATATATACTTATGTGAGTTAGGGGTCCATAAATCACGAAACGCGAATTTGACGTATTTTCAGTAACACCTGAAACGCGGTCTTGGACTATTAACCCTAGGGAGCAAGATATGTACCTCAAAGAAGGTAGTGCGCACAACTCAATTTTATACGTAATTCCAAATATCACAATAAAACGTATCACGTCAGTTTTTATATATACCGTATCATAACGTATTTTGCTATTAATACAAAATACATTTAAATAGCGTCTCTGTAATGTTTAGAATGATTTCACATAAAATTATTTTAAAACACAGTATTTGTTCAGTTCATGTATGCGACTTTATGAAATATCAACAAAATATGGCTTTCCTGTTCGTATTTTATTTTATCTTCTGTATTCGAAGATTGTCGTCTTTATTCTTGCGTCTGGGAGACGCGCTCAATTACATATACAAACTAGTGCTCTGTACTTAAGAGCCCAATTATTAAAATTAATTAATTTAATAATTAAAATAATTTTTAATTTTAATTAATAATTAATTTTTAATAATTAATTAAATATTTTTTTTAAATTTAATAATTAAAATTATTAAATTAATACGAATACTTGGTCTTTGTGCTTGATTTGAAAACAAGTCTCTTGCACCCTCATATTTCGATTCGATATAATACAAATCATCATTTCACATCGAAAGCGTGCGAATCAACCCGATAACTTCTGTTGCGTTTATGGAAGATACACACCCCAACTTCAAAGGGGGAAAAATATATGAAATTACAAAACTCGTATTCTTTATGCTTCGGCTGTCGTGTTCGGGAATAATAATCGGTATCAGGATAAACCATGGGCTGCTCATCAGTGTTGTCAGTGACAACTTGTTACACATGTTCAACGAACCTTAGGTTGTGGGTGTATGAAAAACACAAATCATTGTCATTTTCATGAAATCATTGCATTTCTACATTATTATTGTCATTTTGTAGGAAGGAATATGCAAAAGCATCGAAAATAATCGAAATACTTCACCATGAATGGATATTTTATTTGTTCCCGCGGAAGTTGGCAGTACTACATCTCTTGTAGTCGACGAGACGGAGATAGATTCTATTTTCGTTGGACACGGTAGTTACCAGTAGTTACAGACCTGTGCAATACAATGGCAGAAGATGAAATGTCACCTCCTGCTATGCTTTCCATCGAGTGTGACTTCCTTACCCAAATAGAGACTTCAATGAAAGAGTTATCACAAAATTTACTACGAGCAAGGAAAGGCGTGCCAACATCTTTTACAGATGGGTAAGTACACATGTTCTTTATATTTAAGTTGAAATAATGACCAATAATGTAGAAATGGGAATGTCTCGAAAATGTGAAATTTTAAGTACAGCGTATTTCTGAGATGTACATATAAATGGTATACTTTGTATACCAGTCTCAGTATCAGAGTCCCCCGTGATATTATTTTGTAAACCACCAGCTTTTGAAGGCACGAGCTACCACTGCTCGGTATCCCGGAGGCTGTCTAAGGGGGGCCTTTCGAAATCCTCGAGGTCAGTCGGGGTCTGTGGCAGGCTCTCTCACGCCAAGACAGACACATACACACACACCCTACTCAAATAAGCCAAGCTTACCGGAATGACCAACCCAACCAGACGCTGAAAAAAGTGAAAGGGAAACTGGACCGCTTGCGGAACGATTGGTGTTGTTCACACGCAATTTGTTTAATTCACACTATTGGGTAGAAATGTGTTGTAGATGGTGTGAAAAATTATTCTTAGTGTTAGTCATTTGCTTATAGACAATAAATATCCGATTCTTAACAATAAAATTCAAAATTTCGTGGAACTGAAGTCGTTCGTCTTTCACCCAAGTTCGGGTGCGAATCCCGGACTATCTCATGTGAAATTTGTTCCGACAAAACGAATTTGGCTGCTTCACAAGGGCTAGCCCAACCTCTGTGAAGTGTCCTAAACCCTACCTCTATCCTAATTCCTTCTCAATTCTGGCCGCCGGGTAGTGACGCAGGAGCGCGTTGTAGGAGGCTCGTACGCGAAGATGCTACGTGGCGGTCCTCTTGACAGCTGACTGCGACAGATACGAGATACTGTTAATTGGTGGAGGATTACTCCGAAAGCGCTCAACGCTCCGCAACGGGCTTGGAGACGCTTTTATTTAATGAAGATGCAACAAATAAAAAATGTCTTAACTCCTCCTTTGAGTGACTAGGACAAAAGAGAACAACATAAATCAGTCAGTAATTATATTAAACCTGCTATCACTATTTGGTTCTCTTTTTTTAGGTATAACAGTTTTGAGGGATAATTTTGAAATGGTGTTTACGGGCAGTGAAGTAAATGTTCGTCCAACAAGGATGTGGATCATTGCCCTGGCCCTCAGCGGGCTTTCGGTTTAAGTGACGATGACATTCTGCAACGTCTGCATACACGAACAGAGAATAAGAGCTCAGTTTAGATTTTGTAGTACTGACGAACACACTGAAATATTGTACTTATTATATTTTATTGTGAAAAGAGGCAATCAAGAATTAAAAATTTCAGCTCTTTGTGTCTGAGAGGTGAGAAATTAATGTTGGTTCATCGTGTTTTGTTCAAATTAGTATTTAATCAATAGTTGGTGAATAATACAAGTGTTATTGTTTATTGCAGAAAATATGGTTTTACCAGGCGACAGTCTCATAGATACTTAATGTAATTGCAATAATACGATGTAAATGTTTGCAATCATTCGAAAGGAGTGTCATATGAAGTATTGGACACGGTAACTTCGAATCACGATTTAAGGATTTCGGGAATATAGATTTTTTTTAAACATGGATGACATTGCAACCAACTGAAATTTTCCGGACGCCAAGATCGACGCATTATGTTTCGTTTTCCCATGCTTCAATGTAGAGAAATTAAAAGAAGAGCTTATGTTCATTTATGAAAGCCAGGATAAAAGATTGACAGGTAACCATTTAATGTATTTAAATATTGGTTTGAACCATACTTTTTCTGAGACTTAAATTATTCTCCCTTATATTAAGAATACCAGCAACTACAGCTTGGTGTGAAAGAAGTACCTTGATGTTTGTGGAAATTGCCACCAAAA